TGCACGGAACCCACGACTAAGCTATGTTTTGTGGCAATGAAGGCTTGAGCTCAGCTTAGCTGAATTTGAAATAAAGAGGCATCTGGGTCTGGTAGCATGGGCCTATAAACTCAATTACTCAAGAGACTAAGGCTCAAGAGAGTCTTACTAAAAAAAAAAAAAAAAACATTTAAAGTACATTTCTTTGTTGGGAGGGTGGCTGTGCCACCACATGCATGTAGAAATCAAAGGACAACTTGAAGAAGCTGGTTCTCTCCTTCCACCATGTGGGGCCTGGGGCTAAAGTCAGGTGGTCAGGCTTAGGGTTGAGTAACTTTACCCAGTGAACTTCCACATTCTCTTCATCCTGCTTGGGGATCAAGATCCGCTCGGGCTACTGGGTGATTTCAAGGCAGTCTGAGCCGACAAAGCAAGGCACTAGCTCAAACTTTAAAGATTTTAAGTTCCACATATTTATTTATTGTGTGCATGTGCACGCTGTGTACACACGTGTGTGGACACGTGTACCAAGGTGAGGGAAATCCTGGGTTTGATTCCCAGTACTGAAAACCAATACGTGAACAAATGAATGGATGAATAAAAGAGAGACTACCCTGGATTATTTGGAGAGGTCCAGGCGTATCACAAATGTCTTTCCAGGAATTGAACTTGGGGCCTGAACATTCTAAGTTTGCTAAACTGCCGTTGAGTTAAATTCTCAGTTCCCACAAGGGTTTTTGTTTTGTGTTTTTAACTTTTATCTATCTGTTTGTTTACTGAGACAGGGTCTTACTATGTTGTCCTGGCTGTCCTGGAACTCACTCTGTGAACCAGGCTGGCCTCCAACACAGAGATCTGATTCCCGAGTACAGGGATTAAAGTCATATACCACTATACTCAGCTGCCCACAAGGGTTCTTAAGGGGAAAGAGGGAGGGAGGCACGAGAGATAGACCCAGAGACATGACATTAAGTGAAAGACAGGACCATCCATTGCTGGCTGTGGAGATGAAGGAAGGCACTATGGAACTACAGAATGCAGGAAGCCTCCAAAAATTAGATGAAGGGGATTAAAAAGATAACTCTGTGTGTGTGTGTGTGTGTGTATGTGTGTGTGTGTGGTGGGGACTCACTGTTCCATATGAAGCCCAGACTGGCTTCCAACTCTTAAAAGTCTTATCTCAATCTTTCGAGTGCTGGGATTACGGCTGTGTTCCCTAGCCCATTGGCTAGAGCCTTCAGAAGGAGATACAAGCCTCCTGAAACCCAAGCATAACCCTGCAAGACCTATTTTATACAACGGACCCTCAGAATCATAAGATAATAGCTGTGTGCTATTCGAAGCCATCAAATGCATGGACATTTTTTACAGCAGCAATAGGAAACTGACACTCTTCAGAAGCTTCTAGAAGGGAGGTTGCAGATGTACCAGGTCCCAGACCTTGGCTGGAGTCAGTATCGCAGGACATGCATGATACCTCTCAAATGTACCCTAGGCTGCCCAGGGAGGAGGTCCTGTGCATCTTCTCTGTACTGGGGCCTAGGCTACCCTAGGTATGCAGAGACTTAGTGACAGATCCTGTCCCATCTGGGAGACTCCAAGCCTGGGACAGACAAAGGACATCACCACTGCCTCTGCAGAACACACCTATAGGAAACAGTGGCCTCCTGGACTCCCTACCCGAGCCCCCAGTGACTCCGGATGCCGGCTGTGCATTGGCTCTAGGTGAGCACCTGGAAGCTGAGGCCCTCAGGACAGCCAGGCAGAACCCACAGGTAGCGCCTGGGACCACACCTACTGGAAAATAAACAGTCTCAGTGCTTAGCTGTCCTCCCTAGGGACAGCTTGGCTCAAGAAAAGCACTTAGAAGCCAGGTGTTGGTGGCGGCGCATACCTTTAGTCTCAGCACTTTGGAGGCAGAGGCAGGTGGATCTCAGTGAGTTTGAGGTCAGCCTGGTCTACAAAACGAGTTCCATGAATGACAGCCAGGACTGTTACACAGAAAAACCCTGTCTCAAAAAACAAAAAAAAACAAAAAACAAAAACAAAACCAAAAAGCATTTAGAGGAAGTCACTGAATTAGATATCAACCAATCTGCATACAGTCACTTAGCTAGTTATGTAGCCTCACTGGGCTACTAGCCCGCTGGCAGCCTCAGCATCTTCATTCTTAAAGTGGAACTCACGGCTAATCTGGGTTGTCAACTTGACACACCTAGGAAGAGAGAATCTGGGTTTTGTTTTGTTTTACAAGACAAGGTTTCTCTGTGTAACAACCCTGGCTGTCCTGGAGCTAGCTCTGTAGATCTGCCTGGTCTCAAACTCACAGAGATCCACCTGTCCGTGCCTCCCGAGTGCTGGGATTAAAGGCGTGCACCACCAGTGCCTGACTGGAAGAGGGAATCTTAATTGAGACATTGTCCCTATCAGATTGGCCTGATTCTCAGAGTCACCCGTGGACAGGTGGCCCTGGGTCGGATAAGCAAGCCCGTTGAGTAAGCCACAGAAAGGAAGCCAGTAAGCAGTGCACCTCTGTGGTCGCTGCTTCGGTTCCTGACCTGGCTTCCCTTGACTGACAGCTGTAACCTGTAAGCCAAATAAAACCTTTCCTCCCTACGTTGTTTGTGGTCAGTGTTTATCACAGCTGAACGCCAACTAGAACAATGTGGAGAGCAGCGCCCGTATCAGCTGCTCAGAGCTTGTGGGTCTCTTGGCGAGCAACGCAGAGATCCGCGCAGACTGGGCTGCTCCAGGTCCACCTGCCTTCCGGTGTGTGGTGGTGTGTGTGGGTGATCAGTGCATCCTGAGGGGAAGGAAGGGCGAGTGCAAACCCATCAGCAGCATTTCTCACCCTTAGGCAGGAGGCTGTAGCTGGTCTGGGTCTGTGAGAGCATTAGAGGCAGACCGAGCTGAGCCACCACCGCTAAGGCTCACACAGGATGCGGATGCGAGAGCCACCCTTGTCCCCACAGGATGTCCTGCTGGCTGGAGCTCTGCGCTATGCTTGCTTGTTTTATTTACCACCCTGCTAACAGGGTCTCACTATCTGTCTCGGAACTGGTTTGGGATTCACAGTAATCCTCCTGCCTCAGCCTCCTGAATGATGGGATTGCCAGTGTGGGCTACTATGCCTAGCTTTTTTTCTTCTTGCTTTTAAAGATCTTTTTTGAGCACTCACGACCTCCCCACAACATGGATGCCTGCACAAGAAAGGCCTGCAAAGACCACACCGGTCATTGTCACAAGACACCATGCCGAGACGGAGATCCATGTGCAGTGAGTGGAAGGGAGAGCCAGTTTCCTCAAGGGATGAGCAAGCCGCCAATCCTAAGTGGTCAGCCCTAAATGCATGTAGGTCATGTGTTCAGGTGGAGGAAGAGGGCATGAAAGGGGCTGGTGAGGGGAGAGGAGGGTGAAAAGGATGGAAATATAGTCATCTTGCATGTATTTATATGACATTTTCAAATAAAAAAGAAAAGTGTTTTCTTGTATTTCTTCTACATTGAAGACACAGCCCTATCTGAGAAAACATGTATTTTACAGGGAAAAGATGGGACTTAAACTGTGTGGTCAGTTGCACTAAGGCTATCTGATGGCCTCCGGCACTGCCTGCGGAAATGCAGCAGAATACTTGTGGCAATTGCCTCTGGGTGAGAGGCTAAAGGTGATTTTGTTCTTTGTGTTTGCTGCATTAACTCTTCCTGGGGTGATGAAAACAAACGCCTGGTCACCCTGTTCCCAACCTTGGGGTCACAGCCGGGACAGGAATTTCCTTCTGGGAGGTCATAACTAGACTTGCGGAGTTCTGTGAACTGGGTTCTGCCCTGGTGTGGGCCCTAACCCTGGCCTTGGCATTGGTCCTGGACGTGACACTCTGTTGCTGTGGAGATAGGAGGCTAGATGAGATGCCGTCTGGATCATTTGCAGCTCTTTGCAGCATTTGCCTTGGTTTCAGCCGAGCTGCTCCCAACTCAGCTTCCAGGGAATAGAAAAAAAGGGCAAACTCCTCCCCCAGACCTGGATGTTGTTGACGTCTGCTCCTTGGCTTGCGCCTCCCAGACGTGGTCTATGGAGTCTCTGCCTCTTGGCCTTGGCCTACACTGCAACCTGCACTTCTCCCAGCCCTACCCTTCCTCGAAGAACAAAGCCTGGCATGGCCAAAGCTGGTCCAGCCTGCTGGCCTGCATTGACCTCGGCTTCCCCCTTAACGTGTGTGTAACAATAGTCTGACTCTGTTAGCTTCAGGTGCTCTCCTTCAACCCCAGGACACCAGAGACTTCACAGACTCAACTGCGAACAGCAGCGCCCCCCACTCCCCACCCCTACCCTCATTGTGCAATGGGGCGATCCTATATATTTTCAGATGTCCCTGAGTATATTGTTAATTGGGTTTCACTGGTTAGTGGAGCTCAGAGAGGTTAAAAAACTCAACCACAGTCACACAGTAGCTTGAGGCAGAGCTGGGATTTGATCCCCAGAGAGCAGTTTTTTTTCACCTTCCACCACTTGCATTCCAGCACCCAAAGGCATGAAGGGTGTGTTCAAAGGTGAATGCCCGGAGGACACCCAATGATGTCTGGCAGTGGATGTGTTAATGACAGTAAGTAAAATCAGGGATTATCATGCAATTAGCAAGTCAGCTCAGAGTGTCTGGGTGTTCTGGCAGGCAGGGGCAAGTCCATTCCTTCACACCTAGCAGTTCCTGGCACATAATACATGCTCATTAAATGATAGAAGTGATCTATCATCTATTCAAATAACAAAATAACCAAGTAAATAATATAAACTAATGTTGAAGAAATTTACACCACTAGCCAGCTGCCTCGGGGTTCCAGGATCTGCAGGGAGGGTTACAACATGGTTTTACAGAAAAACAGGACCTAGACAAAGGCCATAAGAACATTAAAGGTAATTTAAAAAAAGATTTATTTTTATTTTATGTGCATTGGTGTTTTGCCTGCATGTATGTCTGTGAGGGTGTCAGGAGGTCCAGTGCCCTCTTCTGGCCTCTGCAGGCACTGCACTCATTTGCACATATCCACTTACAGGCATATACACAAAGTTAAAAATAAAAACAAAATCTCTTAAAAGAAATAGGTGAGGAACAACCTTGAGATGTTCTGCAGGGCTGGAGGCCAAGCCATCAGCGGCACCATGACAATTCAAATATATTAGCAGCCAATGAGAGAATGGGAATCAACATTTCCCCACCCACACCTCTGATTCTGCATGTTCAGGATCTATCTGGACACGCCAGTCGCTTCTGCAGACTGGATAACTGGTGTAACCAGGTCAGAGCGTAAAGAGCTGTGCTCACTGAGATTGGAGACGCTAAAGGAACACGGACCTCACTAACACTTCCACAGGGCATCCTGTGAAAGAACAGCACTTGGGGAAAAAGCCCTGGGCATGACCAAGGAGGCTGGCTCCAACTGGGAGGGATAGCTTAAGATGGCCAAGGCCTCCCAGAGAAGAAGGGGCCCATGGGCAGCCTGGGAAGCTGGGTTCTAATGACTGTGCTTTGCAGCCAGCATGCATTACCTACACACTCACTCAACTGAGTTTGCTAAGTGTGACACAGGGCTTATTCCAAGTAGGGAAGTGAGGACGGAGTGAACCAAGTCGGTACCTTAGAGACTGTTAGGCCAGTGGGGCTGAGTTGGGAAGGCCTTGGATTCCTCACTAAAGTATCTGTAAACTCCAGCATCAGCCACTGCTACTGGCAGCTGACTTCTTCCCTGAGACCAGGTGTCCGGCAGAGTGAATGAGGTGTTTGTCTATGAAAGGAGACTCCTTAAGGATACTTGGCTGAGATGATTGTAGGCCTGGAGCAGATTGGGGACAGCCACCCTGGTTGGGTCATTTACATGAATTTCTCGGTTTCTTCAAGTCCCCTGAAGTGCAGACAAGCCTTGGTCAAGAAGACAGTGTTTTTTGGGTATTTGTTCCTGGCTGGTGGTACTATTAGGCAGGGGTGGGGTTGGGTCGGTAGGAGCAGGCTTTTGGAGGTTATGGCCCAGTCCCTAGTTCTGGCCAACCACACACTCCTGTCACAATCACCTCCCCCACCACAAAGGACTCTGAAACGTGAGCCAAAATGAATCTTACCTGCCTTGAATCATTCCCTTAGGCTATTTTGGTCACAGGAGGGCAGAAGCAATTCACAGGGTTCTGGTTTCTTCCAGCCCCCATTCCCACCCCAGGGATGGCTCCCGGCTGGCTTCCTTCCTCAGTTTCTGAAGGCACTGAAGAGGCCTGAAAGGCACAGAACACACCAAGACCAAGTTCTTAGCACAAGGGAGATTTGTTACCAGGGGGTGATGGAGAAAGGGCAGGGAATTAGGGACAAAGATAGAAGATAGAGGACCAAAGAGAAGGGAAACGGAACAAGGGAGAGGGGGCTGGTATTTGCCCTGGAGGCACAAAAGACTTCCTCTGGCTAGAGAGGAGACCGGTGTGGCCCATAGGCAAATGGCAGTTTGTAAAGGGAACAAAGGAGACCCCCACTTTAGGATGATTTGGTTTGGATTGATTGGGCATGTTATTTGGGGCAACCAAAAGGGAAGGGGGCTTTTAATTTCTGGGCTTCTATACTTTTGATAGCTAGACCTTGGTAGTCAGCCTCAGGGGGAAGAAGTGGCCAAATAAGGGAACAGACCTTGATGGGTAGCTTTAGGAATATAATCTAACAGTTTAGCAAGGCAGAGGGAACTGGGGAGAAGGGCAAGGCCTGCCAGAGCCACGTTTGCCACGCTCAGGCCGACAAGAGCCCATCACTCTCCACAGTTGTCTTCCTCTCCCGCTGCCAGTCACAGCTGTGGTACAGCAATGGCAGCACTAACTATACCTCCTGAGAGGTGCACTATGGGGTAAGCCTGTGGCTGCGCTGCCAATCACCGCATGGTGAAGGGCAACGAGAGATTCATATGCACTGCTCCTAGGCTCCTTCCTCTCCTTCCTTCCACGCCCCACCCCCTTTCCTCCCCTTCTTCCCTCTGCAGGGTCCCATGTAGCCCAGGCTGAACTCCAATTTGCTCTGTAGCCAAGAATGTCCTTGAACTACCAATCTTTCTGCCTCTAATTCCCAAGTGCTAGGATTATAGGCATGAGACACCATACCTGGTTTATGTAGGGCTGGAGTTTGAACCCAGGACTTTATGCATGATAGGTAAGCACTCTATAAACTGAGCTACATCCTCATCTCACGTGCTATTTATTTATTCATCTATCTATCTACCTACCTATCTATATATCTATGTATCCATGTATCTATCTGTCTGTCTGTCTACCTATTGTGCATGTGCATGGGTAGGGGGTCCCACCTCTGCATGGAGGACATGCAAATGTCAGGACAATTGTGGGAGTGGGTTCTCTCTGTCTAGCCTGTGTGTCACTGGGAACTGAACCCAGACCATCGGGCATAGTGGCAGGTCCCTTTACTCATGGGACCCTATTATCAGCTCTGCTTTCTATTTCCTATAGTGAAAAATTATATGCATAAAACCATGTAAACCATATGTTCTGTTTAACAGATAACCAGAAGGCAAATCCCTACATAAATACCACTCAGAGCAAGAGATGGTAATCCAATGATTGACCTCCAAAATCCTCCATGTCTCCCATTCATCATAGCCCTGGCTCTCCTCTGTAACAACAAAGTTCATTTCCATCCTTTGGGTGTTTGCTCCCCCACAGCCCAGTGTTGCTGGGGATAAACTTTTGCAGAGAAACATATTGTCTATATTTTGTTGATCATCCCCTTGTTAAGAGTCAATGATCTTTACAGGATTACCTGACGCTATGCTACTCCATGTCTCTGTGATTCCTGTTGCCACTGTGAGAAAGATGCATGGAGCCAGGCGGTGGTGGTGCATGCCTTAAATCCCAGCACTCACGAGGCAGAGGCTGGCGAATCTCTGTGAGTTCGAGGTCTACAAGAGCTAGTTCCAGGACCAGCTCCAAAAGCTACAGAGAAATACTGTCTTGGAAAAAAAAAAAAAAAGAATGATGCACGGTACATTCGGGTTCTTTGCTGTCTACAGACATTTGGATCATTGTTTGTTTAATTGTTGTCTTTTGAGACAGGGTTTCATGAATCCTAAGCTGATTCAAACTCAGCATGCACTCAAGTCTGGCTTTTAACTCTTGATCTTCCTTGTTTTCATCTGTGAGATCACAGACATGTGTCACCGTACTTGGTGACATTCTTTCTCTACTGGGTAGATATTGTGTAACAGTTTCCCTGAGATTGAAACATTCCATCCTGCAGGGAACTCCTTGAGCAAGTAGGTAAACAATTCAAAATAGCTTCAGGAAGTCCCTAAAACTGACCAGATTCACTAGGCCCCTCCCTGACAGAGTAAATAATAAACACTAAGAATCTCTCTCAGAGGGAAGAAAGCTGACCAACAGCCAACAACTGATACTGACATCAAGCCGCCTGAAAGAGGTTTAGACTGGGGCACCTAGAGAGGACACTCTCCAACCTTAGAATTGCCTGCAGGCTGTGCAGGGTGCTCCATGTTTCCAGCTTCATGAACTGTCACCCATGCTGGGGTGGGCTTTGGTGATGCAGCTATCTCTGAGTCATTTCTGCTCCTGTACACAACCCCAGAAACTCATGGTTCACCAAGTTGGAGGTTGGTGTTATCTATATTTTGGTCTGTCGTGGGCTCCCTGTCCAGGGAGACGTGTGTGTGTGTGTGTGTGTGTGTGTGTTGCTTCTCCCGGGAAAGGTTTTGTCACTCACCAGTGGATTTGCTGGTACAATGATCAGATCGACCACAGCAAAAAAAAAAAAAAATTCTGAGTGGGATTGGGATAATAAAGTATTTATATTTTCATCTTAAATTTTTTCTTTGCATTTCTTTATATTTTGGCAGGGGGTAGGGGGACCATGCACCACATGTATGTGAAATTCAGAGGACAGATGTGGGACTCGGTTTTTCTCTTACCATGTAGTAGGTACAGGTATAGAAGGTATCACCTGGCTTGTTGGCAGGTGCCTTTATCCAGTGAGCCATTTCACCAGGCCCCAGTTTCTCAAAACAAACAAACAAAACATTTTAAAAAGTTTTTATTTGTGTGCATGTGTGTTATGTGCATGTGTGTATACATACTTGTGCGTGCATGTCTCCAGAGAGTCCAGAAGAGAGTGCCAGATGCCTTGGAGCTGGAGTTGCAGGCAGTTACCCACTGTGGGTGCTCAGAACAACTCAACTCCTCTGCAAGTGAAGCAAGTGCTCCTAACCACTGAGCCACCCACTCAGTCCCCTCATCTTTACTTTTAGTCTAGAAAATATTCCTCAGGGAGGTGGTGCTGTAATTCTGTAGTGTTGACTGGGTGGAGGAGAAGCATATCCCTCCTCTTATAATAAGACTTTCTACCATCTGAACCCTTGGGCCTGGCCGGTCCTGCCCCCTCTAGCCCCTGCAGGCTAGCACCTTCTAAGGCAGCCTTTTCTCTGCTCCTCACACTGGTGGTGCAGTGGGTAGGGGTGGGAAGAAATTCAGAAGAGGAAGTGGAAACTAAATACCAGAGGCACAGTGAAGTCTGGCCCTCAAACCCAGTGTTTGAGCAGCCTGCTCTGTGGAGGACCGTGTGTGACTCGTGGGGAGCCTATGGGGAAGTGTCACCCTGCCGAGGTATGTAGGCAGACAACTGCTTGGCACCAGTTTCCCCAGGCATATGTCACATGTGCAATCCTCACCTCAGTCCCCTGGTGTCACAACACTGAGTCTCTGAGCCAGAGACCTTGAGTGCCATCAATACAGTGCAGCGGCTGTGGGATCTGGACCTGTCTACATTGAGATTAACGTGTGACTTATTAGTGATGCAACTCTAGCTTAGTCCTGACTTTCTTCAGCCTCAGTTTCTGTATAAAAGACGGCTGACAAGGTTACTGAGAGAATTAAAGGCTATAACACGTAGAAGGAGCCTAGCCAGGCGCCTGGCACAAAGGAAGAATGAACAGATGGAAATGTAAACTTTTGTGGAGATCATGGTGAACAGAGAGGAGAGGGCTTGACCTGGCACGCTGGGGCCCGGCCACTCCACAGATGGTGTTGGTCAGGCGCTGTGTGAGGACTCAGCTGGACTCTGAAACTCCCACAGTCAGGCAGTCCTGCCCCACCCCCGCTTGTCCACTTTTGCTCAGAACACTGTCCCTCTCCAAGGTGCTTTGAAGGGCAATGATTTCAGACAGAGGAACCTCTGTGTCTGTAGAAACATAGCCCACCCCCAAGTTGCCCCGAGTTGCCTCCAGGAGGCCGCACTGGTGGCTGGCAGCAGTGGCAGCCGTGGCAGCCAATGGGCAGTGAAGACTGTTGCTAGGGTCACTGTGAACCTTATTTGGTGACATGGGGCTGACCCTGCGTTCACCTCTGAGAACCCTGAGAAACGCCAACCACAGCTGTGAAATACGAACATCTCAAAGCCACAGCTGCATTTCCTCTGAGAAAAGGTTGGCTCTCCCCCTTTCCTTCCCTTCTCTCCCTGGATGCCATCAAGACTGGTGAATCTCATGACTGAAAAGCCTGTTGCCTGCTGCAGATCCATCCTGAGCAGGCTTCATGACAAGAAGGCAGATACCACTACAGGGCAGCTCCCAAGTCCAGACCCAGCAAGGACCCAGCTTCCATCATCACCATGGCAGCTGCTCCAGTGCCCTCCCCCCACCCTCCACCACAAGCACACCCAAAGGGCCTGCTCCTTGCCCCACTTCCTGCAGCCTTGGGAAGCCTGCTGGCCTGAGGAGGATGAGGAGGATGCAGGCTGGCAGGGAGGGAGGAAGTGGGCCTGCCCTGTGGGCCCTCACCATCTGCACTGGCCACATAGGTTCAGTGCAGCCCAGGCAGCCCACAGTTCAAACGGTTGGCAGTTTCGGTTTGTCACCTTCCTCTGGTACAACGTGTAGCTTAACATTAAATGAAGCTATTGTCCCACCCCGGACAAATGTGAGAGAGAAGGTGGGCTGACATTCGCGGGTCCCTCACCTTTGCACTGCATTGTGCATTTGGGAGCTGTGCTTGCTTGCATTCATCTCAATGACTTCTCACAGCTCTGGCTAAGGCAACAATACGCACATACGCATGCATGCACGTGTGCGCCCACACACACACGTGGACACATGCATACACGCATGCACGCGTGCGCACACACACAATGCAATAAAAAATTAGGTTTTAGCCAGGCAGTGGTGACTGCACACCTTTAATCTCAGTACTCAGAAGGCAGAGGCAGGCGGGTCTCTGTG